AAAGAGAGGTGCTTTAAGGCAAATTTATCGTTTATTTTCTTTGCACAGGTCAAACAAGCAACAAGAAAAAGATAAGAAATTTCAAAGAATTCAAACGGAGCATATCAAAAGTTAGTTGTCGTCTTGTTTTCAGCTTATACACTGTAACTCTTTAGTTCAGCAGGTGTATAATTATGTAACATCATTATATCACTCAGGTAGTACGTGCGCCATAACCGGTCAAATAAACGAGTCATATTTCACTGTACGGCTCGCTAAATTTAAATTTAAATTTTGAATTGAAAGCCTGGGTAATCATGATTTTCTTGCTAATCTTTTTTCTCGGTCTGTACTGCAAGTTACGAAACCTCGTTTTTTCCACTCGGTACATAAGTTTCATAAATTACCTCGAACTCGGTTAGTACGAGGTTTCTAAGGAAGTTATACACGGTAAACTGAAACATGCCCTTCCGTTTTGGCAGTTGTGTTGAATTTCAAATGCTGCAGATAATTCCACAATAATCCAGTTGCTGTTTTTCCTTCACATATTTTACTAAACTGCGGAGTCTTTAAATGATGTTTAAATTTTTTTTAGAAATTACACCTAGTCTTGAAATGTTGCAGTTACTGAAAAATGTTTTTTGTCTTTCCAGCTGTGAGAAAGTTAAATGAAAAAAGACGTACAGTAGAAGGCAAACTGGAGCGACGAGACATAGTGCGAGACTATTCTAAGTTCGACTCTCAGACATATGCTCCTATGTCTCGTGTGGGAGTATTCGTGGACCGGGGATCTGAACAGTATAATGTGAAGAGCTTCCATCTGAACACCTATCAGGGCCTTCTTGAGCTAGAGGCTTCACTCCCAGACTTTGTGACGCAGCCCCGGATTCAGGCTCCGAAGCCAAAGTCCAGCGGCAAGGGAGGCTTTGTCAAAAGGAAGCAGCGACGTCAGAGGGAGCTGGAAGAGGTGGCGAATGCGATTGAGTTAGCGAAGAAACCGCCAGAGCCTGAAAAACCTTTGAAGTTTTTGGTGAAGGTGGAGAAACCGATACCGCGCCCCCCGACCCCATCAGTGCAAGTTCCATCCCAGGTGAGAGAGACAAAACTCACTAGTAACTCTTAAAGAGTTGAGAACTAGCTGTTGGAAATCAGTTGAACTCATTTCAAGAGTTAAAGGAGACCTCAAGTGAACTATGACCGCGATAGCAACGAGAAAGAAGTGAAACAAGACGTCTAACGAGCACAAGAATAGCCCTCCCCCCCTCGTGTGTTTTATAACTTGTTTCAAAATGTTTAGAGAAATGTGCGCCATAATTGGTCAGAACGAGTTCATTATATTTCCATAAAGCACGCGCCCTAGTCACACGAGTGCACTGTTGAGATATAATGCACGCAGTCTACGTCATCGGTACAAGCGCGCGCAATTCATGATACATTTTGTAAAAGAGAAAAGAGAGCAGTGCGGAGAAGCACGAGCCGACGGTGAGTGTTTCTCGCACTTCTCGAGTGTTCTTAACAATTCTCAAGTGCTTATATAACTCAACGATGCACTCGGCGCGTTTTATATTTGTTTATTAAATTTGATTTATTGGCCGCCTTCCGCAAAACAACAGCGTCAAATCGCCAACTTTTGCGTGGTCTTTACGTTCCGATCTGGAACTCAACGCTGCGCTCACACGTTGTACTTAAGTTGGGGTCTGTTGCCGTGATAGAAGGTAATTACAACCAGCCATTGTTGAATTCTGAAGAACAATGTGACTCCCTTTTTTAATCGACTTTTCCCCTCGGTGTTGCTCTCCTAACCCCTAAGCTCCTTAATTCCAATTAGAAAAGAGCTGTGAATGCGCGTTAAATGCGCGAAAGCGCACTGATCGAGCCGTGACTGACGAAGCCCCATCTGATTAGTCGACTAGTCCTTCTCAACATCTTTGAAAGTAAATTTTCTACCCAATTCGAAAACTAACACAATTCTACTCCCAGGTTCTTTTCATCATTCTTGTAAAACCTGTTCGATATATCTTGGTTCCTGAGGACTCTTTGATCCCGTACCGTCCATATGTTACGATAACGGTACCATGTCATAAGACCTTCGTTTGGACTGACACATTTTCTTTCTTCCTCTTTGTATTATTTCAGCTTGAAGAGGAACAGGAGCTCGCATTAATATTCTTGCAGAAAGTTATTCGTGGTCGTGCCATTCAAAATATGGTGAGTTAGAACTGATGTTTTCTGTTTCTCTACTTTGTTCAGTTATGGACAAGCGGCACTACCAGCTCTTTATTTTCTCGTACGTGTAATATTTTAATTATTATTTTATTTTCTATTTGTACCTTAGATGTTTGAAGGAAAGGAGAAGCGTTTGGAGTTGATTCAAGAGCTACGCAGTACGCATGCGCTGCAAGAAGCTGGGCAGGTAGAAAAGAGAAATGAGCGACAAGCTGTGTTGAGCTTGCAGAGGCAGAGGAGACTGGATACTAACAAGGTACATTGTTCGTCAGCCAATGATTTTACAGATAGAATAGACCGTATCTTTTTAGCGTTGTATGAAAAACAGAACCTGATTGGAGAATCTTCGTGAAATGATGAGCTTTCTGGTAAATTTCATATCGCACATCGCCCCTTCAGTGTGACGAATTGTCCAAGAAATTCTTAGTCCTAATGGCTGTAGCGAATTGCGTGTACTATTTTGTTCCATGTAGGACACATTAGTCAGCTTTCTTCACTGGCTTTATTACGAACCGAGATTTTCTTTTTTGATTACTGGCGGGATCGTTGTGTTAGTGGGCATTACAGTAAACTCTCACAGTTCTTTCCTACCCCTGGGAGTGTCGATGTAAGAATTGACGACATTACTGTTAAGGTGTTATTAGTAATAAAACTAGCATCCTAGCCAGGGAAGGGTAAAAATACACCTTTATTCATCATGTACAAAAATCGAGAGAAGCTCTGTTGGTGTAGGACAGTGTAGGCCAGATGATCGTCGAGAAGACATAAAACTTTTTGCCACTGGACTCGTCTCCATAACGACGCCTACGAACATTCTTTGACTCCCGCACCCCTTTCTGATGTAATTAATCGCCAATGTTTGTGTGCCATCTTGGAGACCATGACTGAGCGGGCACGAGACGCGGAAGGTGTCCCAACAGTGGAGCTTAAAATGTAATTCAATCCTGATTCCCCTTAACTAACATACACACACGTTTCTTTGCCTGTATCTACACTCCTTTGCCGAGACAGTTTCTCGCTTGTCAATCTCTCTTCTTAGCGATATTTCTTTTGATTGTTTAAACTGGTTGTCACTTATAAAACTGCTTGCCATGCTATGTCTAAAGTGTTTCCTAATATGTCCTCACTCATTTCGTTTAACCAGGAATCTTTTGTGGAAGAAGCCCTAGCTCAGATGGAAGGCTCGACCCTTGCAGACATGTTTGATTTCTTGAGTAAGGAGCTGATTCGACTTCAGGTGAGAAATTTTTACGATTAAGTCTGAATTCATTCAACAACATCCTGTCTCGTTTTGTCCACTAAAGCGTTTGGTCGGAAGTGTTTCATTCGCTGCCGAACGTCTTTCAAAGCGCCTTGAAAGGAATTCCTTTTAGCCTGTCTTCACCTTTAAATTATTGTCGTTAGAGTTGCTTGATCAAGTAGTGACTGTTGTATGTTTAATTTTCCGAGAGCAACGCTGACTAACATAGACTCACTTTTTATCAGAATTTTAAATGAATTTTCACCATCATTCGTTTGAAAAGGAAGGAGAAACTGCTAGAAATTGAATTTCTTAAATTGTTTCAAATTTGAGAGAATTTTTCAAGCGATTTTCCACTTTTTTATCTGTTCCGTATCTGGCGTGTGTGCGGCGAAAGGAAGGTTTATGAAGCAACTTTGCGTTAGTGCGTCAACGGGGGAAGTGAATTACGTTTGAAAATCGAGATATAAATCACCTTATATGGTCCAAAAAAATAAAATGGATACCGTAACAATAAATTTGAAATCGCATTGTTGCGGGCAAAGTTTAAATACTCTGAAAAACGATCAAAGTAAAAGCGGGGAGCTTTTACTTTTTTGTTTTCCTTTTGTTCTTAGTAGACAAAAGATTTGGAGATAAAGTGCTAGTATCATTACTTTCTTGGCTGATATGTTTTTCAGGAATTTTTCCTTTCTTGTTTTGTTCTTTTTACTTCGTAATATCGCTCGAGGAACGAAATTTTTGTGTTTGTGGTATTCTTTTCTCACTGATTTTTCTTTAAAGACTTGTCAGAACATAATTAAACAGTATGCGGTCAAAGTGTTTCGACGAATCACCACAGCGATCGAACCGCGCATTACCGCTCTCTAAGATGTTCTTTCAATTTTGTCCTTTTTTAAAAGGCTTTCAAGTCTTGGTTTATCTCGAACCGCAAAAATGTCTTGTTTAATGGACTGACCAAGTGTGTGATGGTTCGAATATTTTAGGAAGAGAGAAGAATCCATGCTTTTGCCATGTTGGCTGAACGACAACGAAGGATTCGTGAAGCCGAAGAGGGCGGACGAAGACAACTTGAAGAGAGACGGCGGCGCGAAGAAGATGAGATTTTCAAACAGGTGAGAAAGAACGAGTAGTACACTACCTAAACATAGTAGTGTAACCATTAACCTTCAATGGTATTCTTCAAATATATTTTATTTTCATGCTTCTATAAATCCACCTTGTTCGCTTTTTACGTAAAGCGGAGGCGCAAATGTAGGGAAACTGTAAATTCAGTTTTCTTTCCAGAAACGACGCGTAGTTAGACGCAAATGTCGCCATTAACAGCAAGAACCGACAATTAATTGTGTGCAGATGATTCCAAAGTTGTAGTGTCTTATTTTCCTCCGTTGATTGTCAAAACAGAATCGAGGAAGATAATTAAAAGGCATGTTGCAGCTTAAGATACTTATTATTTGTGTTACACTGCTAGAATTTTTAACCGACACTTTGCTTTCAACTAAATGGTTTCTATTTGATAGGGACTTTCGTTTTATTTTAACAATTAATGATGTTATTCTCGCTTTGAAAAATAATTATAAAAAACAATGATTTAAACAGTGCTTTACTGTCACCAGTATAGCGGCTGAATAGTAAAAATTATTTCAAAATAAAGAAACCCGCAGGTTTATGAATTTTTTTTTACGTTTGCCTTAGACTGGCTACTTTGTTGTTGTTCATGTACTTGCTAATATGTCAAAACCTCAATTTGAACTCTGAAACTCCGGTAAGAAATCTTACGGAATGATGGGGTTTTTTAAACAAAAATTGTATATCAGCAGCAGTACCTCGATATCTAATTGAAAGTTTTTCATTTCCCCTTTGTCCCTTTTTTTTCTCCATTTTGTCTAGTCCTTTAGTGATTGTGTGATTCGGGCCGCTGATTTTGAAAGAAGTAGCCTGTCACGTCAGTTATCTCATATGTGATTGGTTGATTTGTGTTCAGGTTGTCAAGGTTCATCAGTCTACTGTTGATACGTACCTTGAGGATATCATTATGGGAGCCATCGACAAAACGGCCGAAGAACAGGTGAGTTTAGGATGTTTGTCTGGTTCTTAAGTTTATTCGCTCTCTTGGAGTACCCGAAACCTCCTATCTGGTCACGCATTCTTACGAAAGGAAGTCCTTGCAATCTTCAGAAAACGATGGGTGAACAACAAAGCAGAGTTAGCGTTGTGGAAATTTTCTGTATCCAACCCAAAGAGAGTTGATGAAAATTTTTGGGAGGTTCTCAGGAGTTTTTTTAAAAAGCTAAAAATCGGAGTAAGGTATGATGCTAAACTGGAATTGCCAAAGAAGAGGAGGTCAGCGGCAGAGTTGGCGAGGACAGAGAACAAACCCGGCTAGCGTTTAGTTCATAGAGGTTGAGGAGTGAAAATCAACGCAAGCAAATTTCTTCAGTGTCTCAATCTATGTTGGCTCTGAAGTGGACCGACTTATTCTGTGTGGCTGGCAAATTTTATCAACAACGTTTCCTTGTTGTTGCAGTCCAATTTATTGAGATACCAACGTAGGAAGTGTTTTATCAGACTGTAGCATACTAGTGTAATCATGGCTATAACACGATACCAACCTTTTCAGGCTCGTAAAGAAATCCAAGACCAAGCAGAGAAGATCAACCAAATTGCTTACGACATGGAGAAAACGTAAGGGGTACTTTAACTGTTGCACTGAGGATATTATGATTTAAGGATGAAGATATTAAAGTATTCCGGATTTTACGTAGAAGCGTTGGCGGACTGAGAGCGAAAAATGTTAGAATTGCAGTCTCACTTTGTTCCAGTTTTAAGTTCTTGTCAACCTTGGTGTTAAACCTGATTATCTCCTTTCTCCTTCAAAATTTAGGAAAGGAAGTTTGTAATTCCAAATATATTTTTGTTTTGGGTTTTTGTGGTTTTTCTCAATCAAGTGCATATTTATGTCAGAAGATGGTTCGCAATAGTCCTGTCCTCTGAAAACCTTACAAGTATCCTTTATTATCAACTTCTGCAGCCGAACCAGACTTCAATCTGAAGAAATTGTTGCCGAGCTGGTCACGTCATTCTTGTTGCCAGAAGTGCAGAAAATCACCATGAGAGAGAACGGTAAGCCAGACGTCACTCGTTTTTTGCCAAAAACAAAATCATTCCTTTCGCTGTAGCTTGCGTAACTGCTAGTTTTGTAAGCTTTGAGGGGATCTGAGACGAGAAAATGAGTCCACGTGGCCAGCTATTCAGGCTAATTGCAGAGAACCTAGAAGCTATCAGGATACTTAACAACTAGATTATGAGCTCGAGATTTCTATATTTTCCTCAATAAAGTAAATCTTTGTTGAGGATACCCATTTCACCACAAAAGAGAGAATTAAGGCGACGCTCAAATCGACCATCATGCATGGAAATCTAGAGCGAGTAATCCTATTGTTATAGAATAACGCTGCTAGACCACACAAAGTTAGGCCACTCATTCTACTCACTATAATCACGGATTATATAATAACCTGAATTAGATGCGAATTCGAGGACTGACGCAAAGATGAGGTCACCATGAAAACATTTTGCTTCTTTATTACGTTAAACAAATAGATTCCATGTTGCCGTTGGCCAGTTCAGTAATAGATCACATAAGACGTCAAAAAGTGGCAGTAACATCAGTGACACTCGGCTGCACCTTATGTGCCACTTTTTTCTTCTTAGCACATTATGATGTCCTATGTGATATCCTACAGAACGGATGCACGGTAACATGGAATCCATTTGTGAAATAAGATAAAGCGAATATCGTAGCCAATCAGAATGCTCCATTTTTGATATAACGTTGATAGGTTTATGTTAATTAACAGTACTGTCTGGTTTAATTCGCAGTGAAGAGAAGCCAAAGGAAACATCTTCTTGCAGCTCATAGGATTATCCATGGCGAAACAGAGCCTGTTATGGAACAGTATCCGCAACCAGAGCCTCCGATGGAAGTAAAACAACCAGAGAAACAACCTGACGAACCGGTGGAACCTGAAAGGCCACCTTCAGGGCAAGTGTCATCCCGACCGCCTTCGGGTCAAAAGCCGTCGTCTCGACCTTCGTCGATGAAATCTTCGCCTTCGAGACCGGTATCCGGAAAATCACACAAATCGGACGTTGGAAGCTCTAAACAGCCATCTCGAACAGCCAGCCCAAAGTCCGAACAATCCTCAAGAGCAGGGTCACCAAAGACGCGCGGTTCCTCTCGTCCAAGTACGGCCAGGTCTCGGCCTCATTCGTCTCCTTCTCGTCCCTCGCCGGAACCTTCAAACGCTACCGACGAGGCGTCATAGAGCATTTAAACACAATTTTGAAAGCTAAAATTTCATAGACTTCCTAGTAGAGAGAAAAAATTCATTCGATCATTCCATCTGCGCTGCTATAAGTGAATTTCATGTTTTAATTTGCCGGGTAATAACAATCTGTTATGAGAGAGGATTCATAGATTTTCATCTATAGATCACCACCATCGTCCTCTAAAGTACATACTTTAGGTACTATTCTTGTAAATAAAACTCATTATGCATATTACGAATTCCAATTTCTGCTTGACTATGTACCATTTGTTTGGAATTCTCACTTGGATTTTCTAATAAATAGTTTTGAATTTTATTTTATTTTGTCGGGAACACGTCAGTGAGATGGTAATTGCAAATGGTGCTGCACCCGTAAAATTTCTACAGAATACGGTGAGGGCCTGGACAATAACAAATGTGGCATTTTAATTATGGTCTTAAAGAGTTAATGTGTTGCTGATTAATTAAGGGTATTTTTACCGAATCTAATTTTCTTAAGTCCATGGATTTCTCCCTTGGTTTTCTAACTATTTTAGGTTTTTAAGCATCAATAACAGAGTAAATTACGTGAACGTTCGATAGAGGAAAGTCCTGCAAGTCTTTATCATTACTAACCCGCTGGAAAAATTTCTCATCCACTTCTGCAATCTTGAATAGAAAACACGAACGGTGCGCACGACCAAGTTCTTGTTTCGCCTAAATTCATGTCCTTGTCAATTCTCGTTCCCAGTCTCCTCTCTTTTGGTGAAGAGGTCGATGATCGTAACGTACTGAAACTTGGATGGTGAAGACCTGATGGAAAAACAACTGAGAAAAAGGAAAAATTACCTTAAGAAGCCAGCAAGTCATATTCACAAGTAATAATTAGAAGGACGATTACAATAAATGTCTGATCAGTTTTTTTGAATAAGATTGATTAGGGTAGTTGATGCGATTCCACCAAATTTTAATACTCAACAACTTGATTCGGCGAGAGATAGAAATTTATTTAAATTAAATTTATTTAACACATTTAAATTCGTAACCCTTGGGTATCCAATTTAGCATTGATTTCTTTACCGTAGTTAACTGCCATTTTTTTGTATCTTCTTTCCATTGAGGGCACGAAAAAAAGCCTTTCGTTCACTTCCTATCAAAAATCAAGTCCTAAAATTTACCCTTTTTTCTTTGTTTTAGCTGAACGGATGTGTAACCCCACTAAGGAGCAAAACCACGCATTTTGGACTAAAAAAGAAAAAAAATTGAAAGATTATTCACCCGAATATTTCTTCAACGTATCAGCTCGCACTTTATCAAAAATATGAATCCTGAAATCTTGAAATTTAAAGGATCTCATATTTATGTTTTTCCTTATTTTTATGTCTTCATTATCAGTATTTGGTGACAATTTGTTCTTGCCAAAGTAATCTCATGTAGCAACCCGTCTGTGATAAATTACCCTGGTGAATTTTTTGTTGAAAAAAACTCCTCATCTGTTGGACTTGAATTCAAAGACCCCTTTTTAACAACTCATTCACCAACGTGAAGCAAGAATAAGCTTTCTCGTTTATATGAAAAATGCAATCATAGAAATATCCGTTTCAACTTGAAAATAGGACATCTGAAGTTTCACAGAAAAACTGATATCGTGCGTTTCCAATTACTACGATTTAAATTGGTAAAATTTGCAATATTTACCTAGGATTTGTTTTTGCTATCTCTCTCAACTGCTTGCAAATTCGTCTTTTTTTCCCGTTTTCTTTCAATTTATTAAAGCTGAAAAAGGCCTGTCGAGTATCTAAACATTTAAAATAAAGTTCAGGAATTTGTGAAACCCTGCTCTCTCTGCCTTCAGTAAGCGACTGAAAATGTCTAGTATCCCGGCCGTTTTGTCGAGATCTTATTCATTAAACCCATCGGCTTTGCTTGTCAATTATAGCATCCTCTGGAAATATTCATTCTTAATTCATGTCAGAAAGGTGTGTAGGTAAAGATAAACAAAGATCCCCTCGAAACTTGAATTGATAAAAACGTATTTTCACTGCATCACTAGAATAATGAATTAAACGCGCTAGAAAGCTGAAACGACAATATACAATTGCTCTAGCGCCCTATTCATACCTTTAAGACCCATCAAATAAGCAATATGGTAAAGGTTTTTCAAATGTAAACAAATAACACCGCCGACAACTTAGCCTAAAGTACCTGTATCAATCAATTTCCATCAATCTGCACAGCACTGGACTGCTAGTACTAATTAAAATTCATAATATCGATCGAGTTATCGTCCTCTTTTTGGTATTCCTCAATTAATCTTCGTGTACCCAAAAAAAATTTTACTTCAAAAACAAAATAAAGAGGATAAAAGAATGTTAAAATGCGATCTACAGTCGATGGGAGGAATTCTCTCCGTTTCCGCAAATTCGCCCATTCGCGTGCCTGAAGCACACTCTGTTCTAAAACGGAAGTCAGAGCCGATAAAATTAGCAGTACGATACGAATTTATCTTTACTAATGCAGATTCATAATATCTGCTCTGTTTAACGTCGGTGTGGTTTTTTTCATTGAGATATTTGAGCGATAAGAACGTTTTCGAGAGTCACATCTCTTATTTAATGTAAATGCGGTTATGATAAGAAGAGCAACTACTTCAGTCAAAGGTTTATCCAGTATTTCCAGAATAAATTCATCAAAATGGTTAGCTAAAACAGTAATGTAGATTTTTAAAAGTCGTCGGCATTGTAAAGAACAACCTCTGGATAATTAAGAACCGTTAAAATTACCTCGTCTACGACTCGTTCGGCGGTGAATTTTTGTTTTAATTAATTAAAAAATTCGGGGCACGTGTAATTTTTTTCGTCTGAATTGATATCTTTCCAAAGAATCACTCTATGCAGGGGATCTAATATCTTCATTTAGCTCCATTTATGGTATAAAGAACCTTCGAAGTAGAATCATAGAAGGATTTCAGACGAAATTAGAGGGAAAGTTTTAAATTATTCACCAAAAAATTAGCCGCTTCCTTGCACCTGTTCAGCTCTTTTATCGAAGAATTGACTCTTGTGACGTCACATAATACTTCTGTAGCCAATGCGCATGTCCTAGCGTTAGTTCTGTGGAAAAGGGTGCGCTAAATCGAAGCTACCAAAGGGGTTTTGGGCATTGTAGTACTTACTTAACACCGATGAGGAACGGATTTTTTGCAGTATTTTGCCATCTGTTAGTCACTTCAGTGTGACTCATCTTCGATTAACCTTCACACGCCATAATTTTCTCGCAGAGAGACGTGGCTTGCCGAACTTCGTTCGAGCTGGTCTGGTCAGGGTGTTTGTGTTCGCCCTATTGAGACCTGAGTTTTCAGCTGGCCGCTCCATTTTGTTCATCTTTGAAGGCGTTGACGATTGCAGTCGAACTTGTACTTCATGATCTTGCCTACTTGTGGTTGACATGGAGAGCAGCGACGCGAAGAAAGCGGGTACTCGGTTAGTAGGCACGAAAGAATTTATGTTTTTCCTATATGGTATGTTTGTTTTCATCGATAAGGGTGAGTTAGCCTCGTTCCTTGTTCAGTTTCATCTGCAATTAAGGCACAGTTTATTTCGATTCCCCTTGCGATTCGCTCGAAAGCTCGTTAATTTAGGCAGGTATACACGATCTAATTTGACTGCGCTATGCTGTTATGAGGTCGAAAACAGTGCCTTATATTTATCTACTCGGTTTGTGATCTCAGCTTACAAGTCATCTTCCTTTTGCAGTGTATTCAAGAAGTCGTCCCCAAACAGCAAGGTACAGTTAATTTTTCTTGCTTTAGCTTTTAAAGAAATTTAATTGCCCGACACGCATCGTTTTGAAACATTACGAACTATATATAGTCGATGTAGTATTTTCTTAAACGAGGGTATTAAATTTACCATGCACGATAGCGCAGTGTTTTGGTGTTTAGCTTCGTTAAATATATTCTAATTCGTGTATATATTTGATGGCTTGTGGGTCAAATGTTCACACTTTTGGTGTTGAGGTATAATAAGCCACCGAAAAACGTCGTTTTTTGGGTTGGGATCGAGATTATTTTGAAAGAAAATCAGTGGAAACATGAGCTTTTATGCATGTCTGAGGTTTCGTTTGTGGGTCCAAACTGATGTAAACATCGCACAGAATGCTTGCACTTATCTCTATGTTTATACCTTCTATAATTTTCTTCTTGGCTTAATAAAGTTGTGTACATATCAAATTTAAAACTAGGTAGTTTGAATGAATTAGAGCCTCAAACAAACGAAAGCGAAGGGGAGCATCTTTGCAGATGTTTCCTGCTATAGCTTAGCATCTAGGTTGGCTGAAAATTATCATATGAAAGGTTTAAAAAGATTTGTTTAGTCCTAAAAAGGACGCGAAACGTCTTTATTTTGAACGATGTTAAATTAATTGTTTTAAGATATAGCTCTAGCTGTAATTCTGAAGCAGATGTAAGTTTGTACTATGGAGTACATCTTGTTTTGTTTCGCTTTTTAATTGAGCATGCTTTTGGAAAACAAGCCTAGGAAGAACATGAGATTAAAAAAGATGATGCCTGAAGCACATAAATTTATGGGCGCGTGAGGATAATGGCTGCGGGCAAGAGGTATACCTTAAAAACGAAGGCCATTTCTCTCTGTGTTTACTATACAAAGTGATTAAGAGAGAAATACTCGAGTGAAACCAAGTTTAGATGGATTGATTTGAAAAATTGCACAATTAACCCTTATCCTATTTTAGAGGAATTAGAATCAATTGATTTGTTGAAATTAAAAAAAAAATTTTTTTTCAGAAATTTTTCTTAAAACTTTTGATTAATTGAAAGAAACTCACATTTTTGAAAATGATATTTTCCAGACATTTTTTAAGACTGTTATTTAATTTTTCTTTTTAGTTGTTATCTTTTGATGGGTTAAATATTCTCAAACCTTATCCATGTTGGTACATATTTGCTTAAATGTGTGATTTAGTTACGTTTCCTTTTAGCAAAGTAATGTAGTGCAAAGAATTCTTGAAATTAACTTCAATGTATCTTAGACTTGGTGTCTTTCTGTTGCAATTAGCCACTTCGCTTAAAACACTTTTTAAACATCTGTGTTAAGTGGATGATAGCATCATTTGCTTTAGTCTGAACCAAGGGTAGTGGATTTGTGTAATATTCATTAATAAGTCTAGACACAGGCTAAGGCGTCCACACAGGTAAAACTTACCCCAGTATTAACCCTTTGCACCCCTGCATCAATATGTATATTCTCCCTACCGCCTCTCACATATTTCCAATGTTACTTACAAGGAGAGTTTAAGGATCATAAGCTTCTTTAGTTTTGGCG